GGCCTATGTCACGATCGACTTCCAGTCAGCCTGGGACGTGGGTGCCTCGGCCCTGCGTCCATCACCAGGAGCAGTGAGACGCAAGCACAAGGGGATTCCTGTGTCCAAGACTTGCCAAGGTGTGAGATGTCTCCTTGCTCAGACACTTGTCCCGGCAGCCTCGCTGCCTTCTGTGAAGCCCAAAGCCGTCTCTCCTGAGTGTCTCTAGCCGTGGGTTCCCAGGGGATTCAAAGAACCCCTCTTTCCTGGCCACTCTGACTTTGGGGAGGGCGCGAAGTGCCAAGGCCTCATCTCCAGTGAGCGTGAGTGCAAGTGCAGCAGGCGAGGACACAGCCTCGTCTCTCTGTTGGCGCCAGGTAGCAGCAGGTGCTGCGGACTTGGTTGAGCCTCATAAGACACAAGCAAGAACTTCAGAGCTGCTCAGAAAGCAGGGGTGGGGGGGGTGGGTCACGGCAGTGTGTCTTTTACTGTGATAAATAAGAAAGTTAAGCACACACTCTCGTTTTCCGTCCTCCCTTGTAGGGCCTCCTGGGGCTTATGCAGGTCCCGCAGCTGGTTAGTGCACAGCTGGGCTCGCTGCACCTGTGACCCCTGGGGCAAGGTGTGAGCCACCTGGTGGCAAAGCAGAAGGGGCACCTGCTGCTGATTCCACAGGACTAGGGCCTCCTGGAGGCGGTGGGAAGGCAGGTTGGCGCTGGCCAGAGTCCAAACCTGCTGGGGCTAATGAGTGCTCACATCAGTGTGGCATAGCAAGGTCCGTGCCAGAGAGGAGAGTGTGGCACAGAGCCCTCGTGCCTGTGGGGCTCATGGGAAAGCAGGCTGGCATGAACACAGCACATCCATGCTCGGGCAATTTCTGTCTGCTATGTTGATGGAGAAGTGGAGGCAAAGCAACAATAGCACACACACACGCACACACAGACACATGCTCACACATGCACACGCTCACATGCAGAGCTGGGATGGGACTTGACATTCTGCAGGCCAGCGAAATGCTCACCAGTGAAATCTCCACGAGGTTCTGGGAGCACATGGCACCTCCTGCACACACTCTGGTGCCCTGCGAGTGGCCATGGGGCAAGGTGGCTGTAGTGCTGTAGCCACAGGAATCCACAGACAAGGCCTGGCCTCTGCACTCTGCCACAGACTCCCTGTCCTGCACCGGGTCTGCAGCTCGCTGCCTCTGGCTGAGCCTTCGCTCTGCTTTCCCTCAGCACAGGCATCTATGAGAAGTAGCGAGAACTGTCTCTGCTTCTGTCTTCAGGTCAGCAAGGTTTGGGCCACTGCTCGGCCTGCACCCTGCTGGGGCAGGGGATGCAGCAGGGTGGCGGGCGCTCTGGCACGGGGCGGACGGTGGGGCTGTCCTCTCCCCTGTCGCCCTCTCTCTGCTGCCCCCGTGTACCTCTTCGCTGACCAGCGGACTGTGTACCAGGCACTGAGCCAGGGCCTTCATGCGTCTCTCTTTTTACTTTGCGGCAGGTCTCCCTAGCTGCTAAGGCGGCGTTTGAGCCGGCTGTCCTCCTGCCTCGGCACCCAGAGTGCAGGGGTTGCTTGTGTGCACCTCCATGCCAGGTTTGAACATTTATTATTAAATTAAACATAAAATTTATACATGTTTGTGGTGTACAGTGGAAGGTTTTGAAATATATATACATCGTTAGGTGGTTGAGCTGAGCTGATTGATACATCTGTGACCTTGTGTTTTGGGGGTGAAAAGACTTAAAATGTACCCAGCGATTTTCAAGAATATACCAGGTTATTATTAACTACATTACTGCATTGTACCATCTTTTGAACTTTTCCTCTGTTTGGAAGGAATCTGTGACCTCTGACCCCCAGGACCCAGCAGTCTGCCATTCCATTCCATTCCATTCCATTCCATTCCATTCCATTCCATTCCATTCCATTCCATTCCATTCCATTCCATTCCATTCCATTCCATTCCATTCCATTTGGTCCCATTCCGTTCTGCTCTGTTGTTTTGTTCTGCCTGCTGGGCGGTTCTGGGTTCCCATCCAGAGAGACCAGTGTCCTTCTGAGTGTGGCTGCTTTGCTTGGTGCTGCTACCACTGGTGGGCACTGGGATGATCCCACACCTGCCCAGGAGTCCAGCTGCGCCCTGCGGGCTGGTGCTGTCGCCAGGCTTGTCCCTCAATGCTTCTGCAGCTGCTGCAGCTACAGAGCCTACGCAAACCCCTCCAGGGGCTGGAGGGGAAGGTGCTCCTTTTCTCCCTTTATTATTAGGGGAGCCTCCCCCAGAGCCCTCTGTAGAGCCTACTGCCACGTTGCCTGCCCCTTGCCACATTTGGAGAGCATGACACCCTGGCATCACTCCCTGGGCCTCAGGGCCAGCTTTCACAGTCACAGTGTCACTCCCTCAGGATGCAGACAGCAGACACGTGTCTCTTGGGTGGACAGTCAAGGTGACCCCTTGAGGATGTGTTGCAGATAGCACAGCCTCTGCTTTGGGAGGAAAGTGGCAGAGGAGACTGGTGGTGCATGTCCCGAGTGGCGACACTGACACCTCCTTGGGTGGAGAGGGCACTGCTGCGCCAGCGCTCAGCCTCAGAGTCCCCATCACAGCCAGGCTCTGTGAGGGTCTGGCTGTAGGTGGAGGCCGAGCCCTAGCTCGCCTTG